TCAACAAAGAGAGAGATAGATATCGGCTCAACAAAGGTTATCAGACAACCATAATAAACACTTTGAGTCAATAACGTAGTGAAGTTTACTTCCAGTTTTCCAAGATGTAGTAAAACTTTAGCAGCTGTAGTCAGAAATTATTATTAAATTGTATGTTCAATTAATGCATTGTGTTAATGTATAATTCAGTGTATATTCTATATTGTATAAAGGATTACTACATGCCAGGAGTACTGGGCCCAGGTACCAGTTATGGGGCAAATCGTTTAGCAATGGTTTGCCCACTTACCTGGGTCCCCACCAGGCTCACAAGGTCACTGCTTTCGGCTTTTAAAAACTGAAGTGGTCATGGTATTAATTGTGGGGGGGAAAAAAATGTAAACTTTGATGTAATGTTATTGCTAATGGAATAATATCACTTTATATCAGGGAAGAAAAAAAATAAAACAATTTTTTTTTTTTTTTTTTTTAAATAGGATTTTGTCCTTAACCTACACTAACAATAACCTTAACCCTACCTCAAAAGGAATTCCCTATGCCGAATTCAGCAGAGAATTTCGTGTCTCACACAGTACAGAGCATCTCGAAAAGCACACTCTCCTGTGTGATTGCAGAGATGGAGTTCTCCCGCTCATGCTGCAGCTCCAGCATGCTGCCCTGCCAATTACACAAAGAAAGGTGGTGGGTAGCTGGCAACGCTCAGTGGAGAGCACAGTCAGCAGGTAGGCATGCAGAAAGACATGGTCAGAGATAGACAGCTCATCTGTCAGTCTGGGGACACTAAATTTGCCCACAGATGACTAGGTATGGATTGATACTTAGGTCTCCCTGCTGTGTGCAGGAATTTAAAGGGTTATTCCAACAACAACAAAAAAGAAAAAAAATATATATATAAATAAAAAACTAGAGATAGAGGAGTGCAAATACAAATGTATATGGTATACTTAGAGACACTGGTCAGTCCTTCATATATAAAGTGCATAAAACAAAATAGCAGCACTAAATGTACAAAGACATCTATAAAGTGCATAAAAAAATAACACTAAGTGCTGCTATTTTGTTTTATGCACTTTATATATGTCCCTGTATATTATTAAATTTTGAAAAAGTATCCCCACTCTGTTTTGGAATTTTTATATCTCCTGTATCCTGATCCAAGTGGAGAATTCTGAAGGCGTGGTGGAGTTCAACACACCAGGGAATTATCAAAGAGCAACTATAGTCAGAGCCTACTATACGTGGCTCTGCAAAGTGTGAGTGAAAAATCCACATTTATTTACTATATTATTTGGAAAAACAGTATTATGCTATGTTTGGATCTTTTTGTATATAGGTTACATCTGAAGGACTGACCAGTGTCTCTAAGTATACCATATACATTTGTATTTGCACTCCTCTATCTCTAGTTTTTACTTGTATGTTATCTGTGTTTTTTAAGTGGTTTTAAAACACTGTGGAGTTGCACTGTTACTTCTGCTACCACCCCCACACTTTGTGTGTTTTGCACGCTATTGTGTAAAATTTGTTTTATAAATAAAAAACTGCTTTACTGAAACATAATGCACATTAGCAAAGGGTAATTTCTGTATGCGGAGCGTTTCAAAGTGATAACCTGCAGACACAGATTCCAGACACCGTGGCCACTACATTTCAGTTAAACCATGCTCACACCAAAATGTTAGGCTGTTCCATATGGATGGTTGTAATGTCATTAAAGCAAACTCTGTGGAGGATGGCATGGAACATCCTGAAGGGGTTAAAGAAATAAGATTTACTTGCCTTTTGTCCTCCATGTTGGTCATTACAAATTATCTCAGCCAAATTAATGCTTCCCCATGGTGAAAAATTGGGAGGCTAGTGTGCATGTGTTAGCTTAGTGAATTTCTATAGAGAGAATTTGGCATCTTCATGCAGATGGTGATTGCAGGACCGTTTTAGGGAGCACCTTTAGGGGCTGTCACTCAGACAGGTAGCCTTAGAAAGCAATGTAAGCAGTGTTTGAATTGCTGAGACTGCACAAACAGTCTATTTGCCCTAGTACAACCACATTATTTTGTAGCAGTTTTGGTGCTTCAAGAGCATTTTAAACTGACGAACTACGCGAATGCCTTGCACGTGCATGCCTCATCCTTATTCTGCTCTACTGGGAACCAATGTGTTAGCGGAGAGAAAAGTAGTTATGATTTCAGCCAGGGGAGGAGCAGTGGCTGTGGTAAAATCAGCAAAGCGAGTTGTGTCATGTAGACCCCACATCAATACAGCAGTGACACCAACCTGATTGCTTGGCAGCATTATAAATCAGACGTGCACTTAACATCCTCTTGACTTCTGCAGAAATGGGGGGAAAGAAACAGATATTAAAGCCGTCCAAACATTCCATTATGCATATATTTACTGGCTGAAGTTATTTATAGAAAGGATACAGAATTGTGAAACATGTATTATGTGTTACTGAGGGGCTCTAGATTTTCATCTATGCACTCTTTACTATTATTTATCTTTAAGATTTGTTGTTATGGTTTGTGTGCTAGGGTTGGAGTTCTGGTGAACGGTTTTAATTGAAGGGACAATATTACTGTTAGGGCAGCGCAAGGAAATGTACGCATTAATGCTGCCCAAACAGTAATATTGTCCCTTTAACCAAGATTAGTGGAGGTTAAAGTCTTGGGCAGCTGGTAGTTCAGCTGCCACTATTAAAAGGACCACTCCACAGTTAAAGGGACACTATAGTCACCAAAACAACTAAAGCTTAATGTAGTTTTTCTGGTATCTATAGTCTGTCCCTGGAGACTTTTTAATGTAAACACTGCCTTTTCAGAGCAGCACTGACATTCGGCATCTCCACGCATCAGCATGGAGGCACTTAACGGTCCCCATTGAGATGCATTAAAATCAATCCAGCTCTATGAACAAATGCTGGAAAAGGGGGAGTAAAATCCCCTTTTTAAATGCAGGTAAGGGAACTGAACACCGAAACGATGTACCAACGTATTTATTTATTTGTTATACCAAACTACTCTATCTTCTGAAGCCACCCGACCTTGACCTGTTTATGTTAAGCCCAGCCACTATAACGTGGCTACACCAACATCTCAAAATACTACATTTAGAATACTTGCTAAAATAGTATGCCATTATAGAGGTAGTTTTCTTTATTAGCCACGTTCACTCAAAAGCAACATAGGCCCAGAAAATAACTCACATTTACAAGATTGAAATAGGCATGTCATTTATGGCCCTATGACTACACCAAAAAAAAATAAATAAAAAAAAATCAGTACATGGGGGTGCTATTATATTTGTGAGAAAATTGTTTTTTTTTGTAAATCTTTATTTAATATTGAGGAATAAGCACTGTATACAATCAAAATTGCATAATCCATTGCATTCATTTAAGAAGTCATACCAACAATCCTCTACATTTATATTTTAAATAAAACACACCCCCCCAAAAAAAAAAAAGTAGTTAGCTCAATATTTTCCTGTAATATAGTTGACACCTGATAGATATGGAGACGGACTTGATGAATCCAGACTCACCTGCATTGCATATGTGGCTAAACAAGGTTTCGAGGCCGGTCTTACAAACAACCTGTCCAGCAATTTTAAACTCCCTATTTATTTGGGATAAACTTAAAGGACCACTCTAGGCACCCAGACCACTTCAGCTTAATGAAGTGGTCTGGGTGCCAGGTCCTTCTAGGGTTAACCCATTTTTTCATAAACATAGCAGTTTCAGAGAAACTGCTATGTTTGTGAATGGGTTAAGCCTTCCCCTATTTCCTCTAGTGGCTGTCTCATTGACAGCCACTAGAGGCGCTTGCGTGCTTCTCACTGTGATTTTCACAGTGAGAGCACGCCAGCGTCCATAGGAAAGCATTATGAATGCTTTCCTATGTGACCGGCTGAATGGGCGCGTAGCTCTTGCCGCGCGTGCGCATTCAGCCGACGGGGAGGAGAAGAGGAGGATCGGAGGAGAGCTCCCCGCACAGCGCTGGAAAAAGGTAACTTTTAACCCCTTTCCCCTTTCCAGAGCCAGGCGGGAGGGGGTCCCTGAGGGTGGGGGCAGGGCTTGACAAATTTGTTTGGAATATAGGAGCCAGCTAAAAAAGTTATGAGCCAGTCATTTTCAACAAGAAAGTGCATTTCTTAAAGGGACACTATAGTCACCAGAACCTCTACAGCTTGATGTAGTTGTTCTGGTGTCTATAGCCTGTCCCTGTAGGTGTTTCAGTGTAAACATTGCCTTTTACGCGAAACGGCAGAGTTTATATTGCTGCTTAGTAACACCTCTAGTGACAGTCACTCAGATGGCCACTAGAGAATCCTGGGTCACTGCTGCACCACGTGCAGCACCCAGGTTCAGTGTCTCCAAGCTCTGCATGGAGGCGCTGAATGTTCCTCATAGAGATTGATTGATTAATGTAATGTATCTCTATGAGGAGATGCAGATTGGTACATTTGCTGCGCATGCACAAAATCCTCCCAATGCTTTTCTAAGGGAAAGCATTGCCTTAGCAGAGATCATAAAGACTTATCTCGGCCATAGCGAAACTGGCACGGCGTGGGAAAATGGGAAGAAAGGTGAGTAAAAACACGTTCCTCATGCGATCGGAGGGGGCAGGTACCTAAACGTGCACACACACACTGACAGGCTCTCACACACACTCATGCTGACAACAGGCTCGCACACACAAACTGTTGACAGGCTCTGGCTTACATGCACAAACAGACAGGCTCTCACAAACACACACACCCTCTGACAGGCACACACTCTTGACAGAACACATTTTTGTTTTAATTGAAACCCACTCAGCCTCCCTACCTTTGGGAGAGCTGAGTGGGTCTTTCCTGGGGTCCAGTGGGGGTTCTCTCTTCCTGTGTGCGAAGGAGCAGTACTCCGTTTGCAGCTCTTCTGCCTAGCGCTCTGTAATGATGCCGGGGCCAGAATGACATCATACTCCGGCTCCCGACATCATTAGACAGCGCGAGGGAGCAGCTGCATTTCTGACACAGGTCTAGTATTACAAAGGAGTTCTGGGAGGTACTATGATATCATCCTTACTTAACTGGTTTTCCAGTAATACCATAAGAATAGTATTATAGACAAAATATTAATTACCATTATTCACTTTTATTAAATACCTTGTTTAACTCTAGATGCAGATTCTAACATGTGAACAGACATGAACTTGAATAGGGTTAATCACAAAAATGAAAATTGCTGTGAATTCAAAGTGAATGTCAAATGGAAGGTCAAAATAGCCAAACTGAACTAAATTGACTTGGAATTTTTTTTCTAAATCTACTATTTTGGCCTAACCTTTGAATTCACTTTGAATTCCAGGCTATGCTCTGTAAATTTCAAATTCTAAGCTGAAGTAGCCAATTTTGTAAACTTCTCCAAATTTTCCAAGAATTCACACAATCGTAAATAACAGTGTATATACATACACACATATATAATCTTCCTTGATAAGGAAGAGGTAGATATATACACACACACACACACAAAAACAAAACAAAAAAAAACAGATAAAGATACAAATTGTATCTGTTTTTTTACATCTACATCACCAGACTAATACGGCTACAATCCAATCCAACTAATAAAATTATAAAAACACAATAATCCTGATCATTTATGAACTACCTACACTCCATCAATGCGAGAGTGATATCTGCAGTACAACATATCTAGTTTACTAAAGCGAATCTGTCACTTTCAGGGGGTTCCTTGCATATTTCACAAATACCCCAACATCGGACAGAACCGATCTAGTTCCAGTGTAAGACCACTTTCATTTATTTAAGGTTGTCCTGCGCAGGCACCACCATCTTCATGTTGCATTCTTCTTTGACTTCAGGCGATTCAGTGCATGCGCGAGAGTATAATACTGAGGTCTACGAAGAATTCCCCAAAACCACGGATCCTCCATAGACAGAGCCTGAATCCCACATCCATATGTCATTAACCTAGTGACAGCTGCTGAGATTGGACAAATGTTGCAAGCGGAGCACCACCTATTGTCAAACTCAGGCTTTTACAGGAGATAAACACTTTATTAGTCTACTAAACTGGGAAATAGTACTACCATTACATCAAAATAAGCAAATCAACATGCAACTTAACATGCAATTATCCACATACTCTAAATAACTAACTCTTGATTTCCATATATTGTGCCTATAACATTTCTAAAGGGCTTAACTCCTTAAGGACCAAACTTCTGGAATAAAAGGGAATCATGATATGTCACACGTCATGTGTCCTTACAAGGTTAAAATGGCAGGTTCAAGCTACAAGCCAGGCTTTAAAATTTGCACATCACTGCAAGCTTGGAACGTCCATGGCACTCGCCAGGGAAACATTTTCACAGGCCAATGGCTAGTGAGGAAATTTTCAGCCTTGTTTATATTCTAAATATCATGTTACCCTACCTCCTGGAGTGACACCCCTCTCGTAAATCCCCATTCTTCCCTAACTCTCCAATGGGAGCGACCACCCACCACCCTCTCCTCCACCGTGGTGTTGCACAATGAGAATTGACCTGAGACCGTATTTTGCATCCATGTCTCACTTTATATAGACTCTGTTTTGTCTTTGACTCAAACAGTCAGCTCGTCACAAAAAGGGAAACAGTTAGGAATCTAATACAGTGTAATCACACAGCTTAGTTAACGCACATGAGAGGGGGGAAACTACATTTTATTAAAACGGATCAAAAACCAAGTGCAGTGCGTGCTGTCACATGACGCATGCGCAGTAACTCTGCGTTCCACCAAGAACGTCCTTTGTGACCGTCAAGCTAATTTCTGGGGTTATAATCGCTTAGGCAGAGGAAATGACGCACACAATCACAGCAGAACTCGTACACCCCGGTATGGGAAGTTATAACTATATAGGCTTAATGTCGTGCCACACTTACCGGCAGCCGCCACCGACCTCGCATTAAAAAAAAAAAAGAAATTCTCCAACCCGGCAGGGATTTCCTAACACGGCAATTGCTCCTCCCAGCCTGCAATGCGAAAGATGACGTTTGAACGCCGTCTCTGCCGTGTCAGTGGCTACTGTTTACGATACGTAGCAGGAGGCTGGGTTGGCTGCTCTTTATTTTGATTGGTACATCCTTTCCCACAGCATATTCGTTAAAAATGTGCTGCGGGCTGTTGATTAATTTTCCAGGATTTTCTGTCGGGATGTACTAATAACGATTCCTATTGAATGTATATTAACGCGTATGAACCACAGAAAAACACCAAACCACAGCTCTTGTCGGGGTTATTCACTAAACTGTGAATTTAGCATGTAAGGCACAAATAGCCAAACTGGAAAAAAAAAAAAAAAACAAGTCTCCCTATGCATCCAGTTTTACTATTTTGGCCTTAAATTCACATTTAACCCCTTAAGGACTGGACTGCTTTTGCGATGTTGTACATCAGCTACCAGGCCTCTTTTTACACTTTTGTGGTGTTTGTGTTTAGCTGTAATTTTCTGCTCTCTCATTTACTGTTCTTATACAAATTATATATATTTTTTTTTCAGGACAAAAAAGGCTTTCTTTACATACCATTATTTATATAAGCTCATGTAATTTAATTTAAAAAAAATAATGAAAAATTGAAAAAAATACAACTTTTACTTGAAAAATCTTTTACTCATCTACAAAAGCGAATAAAAAAAACTGCTAAATAGATTCAAAATTGTGTCCTGAGTTTTAAAATATCCAGTGTTTACATGCATTTTTGCTTTTTTTTGCAAGTTATAGGGCTATAGGTGCAAGTAGGATATTGCGGTTTCAAAACATTTTTTTTTCAAATTTATCAATAGTGACATTGTAAAACTATTATCTGTCATAAATCTCTGAATAGCACCCCACATGTACATATTTTTAAAGTAGACAACCCAGGGTATTCAATACGGGGTATGTCCAGTCTTTTTTAGTAGCCACCTAGTCACAAACACTGGCCAAAGTTAGCGTTCATATTTGTTTGTGTGTGAAAACTAAATTGAACACTAATTTTGGCCAGTGTTTGTGACTAAGTGGCTACTAAAAAAGACTGGACATACCCCATTTGCAATACCTTGGGTTGCCTTCTTTTGCAAATGGTATGCCATCATGGGGGTAATTCTCATTCCTGGGCTACCATACGCTCTCAAGGGCAACTTAACCAACCTGGCCATTTTCAATGTAAAAATATTTGACCCATATATTTGACCCTGTAACTTTCAAAAACGCTATCAAATCTGTACATGGGGGGTACTGTTATACTCGGAAGACTTTGCTGAACACAAATATTGGTGTTTCAAAACAGGAAAATGTATCACAACAATTATATCATCAGTAAAAGTGCTGTTTGTGTGTGAAAAATGCAAAAAAATGTCACTTTCACTGATAATATCATCGCTGTGATATTTTTTACTGTTTTGAATCACTAATATTTGTGTTCAGCGAAGTCTCACGAGTAAAACGGTACCCCCCATGTACAGGTTTTAGGGTGTCATAGAAAGTTACAGGGTAAAATACAGTGCTAGCAAATTAAATTCTCTGGACTTTAGGCCTGGGTTGGCAGGCAGGTCCCTCAAATTGCAATTAAAAAAATTACTTAATTATGTAAAAATATTACATAAATATGCACGTAGAATTTAAATATATATACATATTTATATATTTGAACTCTACGTGTATATTTATACAATAATTTATGTAATTTTGTATATGGACATATGTATATTTCGTATTATTTTTATTTATTTATATATACATAGATATATATACAATTTTGTTTTAAGTGTATTTTGATATAAATATATTTTAATATCAAAATATAGTTAGAATAAAATTTCATATAGATATATTTTTTTTAATTTTTATTATTTAAAAATGTTTTATTTAATTTACTTATTTGTATTTTATAATAATATATATATACAATATATATATTTATTATATATATATTATATATATACACGTGTGTAATTTAATTATAAGTGTATTTTTACTTTAATATATGTATATATTAATATAAAAATACTTAGTATGACATATATATGATATATAGACATATTATATAGATATAATATATGTCTATATATCATATATATACACACATATATAATCATGTTTTTATTTATTAATATTAACCTTTATTATTTTTTTATTTATTTTACACTGGCAGGGAGACTGTCTGTCAGCACAGGCAGTCCCCCTGCAGGCAGACACGTGGACACCTATTGTGACCATGTGATCACTCTGTTGAGCGATCACATGGCCCCAGGGGTCCTAATCCGCCGGGGGGGGGCTGTCTGGGCTGCAGGCAGTCTCCCCACACCGGGAGCACCGCTGATCGCCGCTGGGGGAACGACGATGATCGGGTAAGTACCGTCATCGGTCGGCAATGCAAAAATGCAGATGACGGTCCTGAACCGTCCTAGGTCGTTACGGGGTTAAGGCGACAGAAGTCAAACGAAAAAATAGCTGTTATTCACTAAACTGAGAATTCAAAGTGAATTTCAGATTTCAGGTCAAAATGGCCAAACTGGAAACATTCACTAATAAAAGGTATTTACTAAAGTAAAAATTCAAAGTGAATTTTAAATTGAAGACCAGAGATGCCGAAACTGAAAGCATAGTTGACTTACATATTTTATTCAAGTTCGATTTAGTTCAGATTTCTAATTCATAGCACTATGATTGGTTGGTTTAGAAGTTAACCACTCGCATCGCTCTGATGGGCAAGGTGAAGTGAGACTTTGCCCATCAGGATGCTTTGATTGGTTGGCTTCTAAACAAACCAAGAACAATACTCTGAATGAGAACTGAAGGCATAGGCAGGACTTTATAAAATAATTTATTCCATAGAATGCTCATTCATATGTTGCCAACATTAGTAGTTAGTGGGCAAATAGTTAAAAAGAAGAAAAAAACAAAACCTCAGCAGCATGAGCGTTAAGTGTGTGGCAGCTGCCTAGCACTGCCTAGCTGGCAACCACAAAAAATAAATAAATGCATCTGTGCACCTGAACCTGTGCACATTACCCTTTATTCCCTCTATGGGCTGTTCGTATCCTTCCCCCTGTTATTTCATATGTTTTTATTTAGATTTCGTGTGTGGCACAGATCATGTTGTCCCTGGATTATCCTGCTATTTTCCCTTGTCACATGGTTGTTTGGTAAATAGCATTCAACTCCCATATTAACAGTATTCTGTTCGACAACCAAACAAATCACCGAGCTCCAGACTGCCCATATGTAGAGTATGCCTTTTGTTAACCTCCGTTCACACCTCCACAAACCAAAATAACACTTACATTCTAGGCGATCGTCTGGGTGGCCTCCGTTCGTATGTGCGAACACATGGCTGAGGCCATCTTTAACCAGCAACAGAGACAGCGGTGTTTGGTCGTCGAGTGTATGGTACTAAAATCAAACACTTGCTGGAGCGAACACCGCTGGGACTTCCACCTCCGTTTATGTTCGTCAGAATTCATACTAACTGAGAGGTGTTAAGGGGGAGCAGACTCCCGAACAAGATACATGGGATGAGCTTACACACGAACATTTTATTTGTTAGTTTTCGTATGTTTTGTACTCCCGAAAGAGACCGACCACACAGCTTGATTTCATGGAACCTTTTTGGGCAAACTCCTCGTGTGTAAACTATACCCCGGTGGTGTTTTGGCTGCGTTCGTGGTATCTGATATATGTTGGGCGCTCAGATCCATGCTATCCGGGGATATAGGACTTGAGGGGGTACCTTGTTGTTAACGGTATGTTTTGGGGTGTTATTACTGTATATGTCCTGGACCTTAGCGTTAATATGTTGTGTATTTTATCTCAGTCTACTCTCTGGTCCAGTGGGGAATGCCCCATGCATGTGTATCAGGAAACCCCTTGCATGGGGAGTGACATAAAAGGTTGTGTGTGGCTCCATTAAAACCAGTTTTACTCCCAGAGCTGAGTGTCGTCCAGTTGCCGGGGAGGAGGTAGGAGATTCCTGGATTATTTTACTGTGTTTGGTAGTCTCCTTGAAGTTCTTTACTTGTTCCAGAGTATATTTTGGAGTAACCAGAGCAGGAGAGTCCCTGCTTGGACTAGAGGTCGGCTACAGCATCAATAAAAATGTAAAAGTACATAAGGGGGACAATCTGATATCCATTTTACTATAGGGGGAGTATATCCTCTCTTATCCCCTCACTTGCCAAGCCTCAAATAAAGGACATATCTGCTAAATTGTGAGCAGCTAGCAACTGCTCATTTTTACTGGTATAGTGACTGGGCATCTATTGTGTGTTATAATGTAAAATTAGAGATCTATCCTAATTAAGATGTGTCTATCTTTACAGTGACACAATACTGACCAGCACCAAACTTTGACCATTAAGTAAAGTACATCTGCTCATAAATATCTCACATATAACACACCAATGGTTTCCAATGAGTCATTAACAATGATGAAGTACAGCAACGTCACTAGACCTTGTAGAATATTGCATATTCTATGTTTCTATTGATTATATATATGGATGTGTGGATTGACATAAGTAACAGATGGTATCAATAAGTCACAAGGCTTTCTTTGTCCGAGAGCTCTGGAATGTGGATTCGGGGGTCTTGTCCTTATATGGCTAGAGTTATATGATGACGTTAGTATTAGCACATCTATATAGTAACAGAGGGACACGAGGTCGCACTCTGTCTTGGCTTGGCTCTTGGCTCTGTACAACGATGTAACTCTCCCATCAGAAGTCCAGCAATTACCATCTGCTGTTGAATGTCCATAATCCTGTAACATCCTTTATTATGTTTTATTATGTATCCGTAACAAAGAATAAACCAGAAGAAACCGTAAGTCAGATTGCGTATTACTACTTTTCAATAATATAGACATATATTATTGTGGCGAGCATTTGGCCCAAGAATATATATACAAAAGACGTATATATATCAATCATCTACATTTATCACCGTTCCAAAGTACATTTTACAGACCTCACCCAGTCACATAATCTCAGGGTGGGAGAGTCAGTTGCAAACCTGGGATTATGGCTCTTACAAATTCGGACCATACAACCCTAGAAGTGTTGCCATAGGTTACTA